AGTCAATATCAAATCACATACAAGAGGCAGTCCATGATGGCTTCAGCAAACTCCCAAAATAAAGGACGTAGAAATTTTCCAGAGGAGGAAAATTTCTTGGAATTACTGGAGGCAGAATACAAAAGATTAATATACACAACTCTTCAAGAAAATAGGAAGGAAATTGAGCAAAACACAGAACACGCAATACAGAAAATTAAAAAGATTAGAGAAGAGCATAATGACAAACTTAACAGACTGCAAGAATCCATACAGAGACCGCAATCAGAAATCCAGAAGATTAACAATAAAATTTCAGAATTAGAGAACTCAATAGAAAGTCATAGGAGCAGAATTGAGGCAATGGAAGTCAGAATTAGTGAGACTGAACATAAAGCACTTGACACCAACTTATTTGAGGAAAAATCAGATAAAAGGATTTAAAAAAAATGAAGAAACCCTAAGAATTATGTGGGACTCTATCAAGAGGAATAACCTACGAGTGATTGGAGTATCAGAACAGGGGAGGATAACAGAAAATACAGAGAGAATTGTTGAAGATTTGTCAGCAGAAAACTTCCCTGATATCTTGAAAGATGAGAAGGTATCTATCCAAGATGTTCATCGAACCCCACGTAAGGTAGAACCCAAAAGAAAGTCACCATGACATACTCTAATCAAACTTGCCAAAACCAAAGATAAAGAGAGAATTTTAAGAGCACCTAGAGATAAACAAAAAGTCATCTACAAAGGAGAGTCAATAAGAATAAGCTCAAACTACTCAGCAGAAACCATGCAGGCAAGAAGGTGATGGGATGACATATACAAACCCTTGAAGGAAAAAAACTGCCAGCCAAGAATTATATATACAGCAAAACTGTCTCTCAAAAATGACGGCGAAATTAGGGCATTTCCAGATAAACAGAAGTTTAGCGAATTTGCAGAAATCAAACCAAAATTACAAGAAATTCTAAACGGAGTCCTCCACTTAGAAAATCAATAACAACAGATAACAACCCAAGACTAGAACACAGGACAGAGCGACCAGCTATTAACCCAGATAGGGAAGTCACAAAAATAAACCAAAGCTAAAACACTGAAAACAGGGAAACAGAGATGTCAACATGTAAAAGATGACAACAATAAAACAAAAAAGAGGGACTTAAAAATGTAGACATAGATTTTTCATATGGAGCGGAAGTCAAGGCGATAAAAGAAATAAAAGAGTGGTATAAACTTAGAAAAATAGGGGTAAATATTAAGGTAATCACAAAGGAAACTAACAATCCTTCAAGTCAAAATAAAAAACTAGAAAAATGTAAAGACTCAGCAAATACAAAATCAACAACAATGAAAAAGATGAAAAGAAAATACATAAAGCAAAACGACTCAGCACAGAAAATTAAGTGGAATAAACAAACTGTGAACAACACACAAAAAAAGACATCAAAATGACAGCACTAAACCCATACCTGTCACTAATTACACTGAAGGTAAATGGACTAAATGCACCAATAAAGAGACAGAGAGTGGCAGAATGGATAAAAAACCACCATCTGTCTATATGCTGCCTACACGAGACACACCTTAAGACTTAAAAACACAAACTAAAACTCAAAGGATGGAAAAAATATATCAAGCAAACAACACTCAAAAAAGAACAGAAGTGGCAATATTAATCTCTGACAAAACAGACTTTAAAGTAAAATCCACCACAAAGGATAAGGAAGGACACTATATAATCATTAAAGGGTCAATACACCAGAAAGACATAACTATAATAAATATTTACGCACCCACAGACAGGGCTCCAAAATACAGAAAACAAACTCTAGCAGCACTGAAAAGAGAGACAGACAGCTCCACAATAGTAGTAGGGAACTTCAACACACCACTTTCGGTGAAGGACAGAACCCAGAAAGAAGCTCAACGAAGACACGGAAGAGCTAAATGCTACAATCAACAAACTTGATCTCGTAGACATATACCAATAATCCCTGAAAGGTCTTTTGAGTATTTTTCTTTCCCTGACGAAGCTATACCTGTAAATGGACTAAGATCCCTCCTTTAGGGAAGGCTATGAAGAAAATTAGTAGTACCTACTCAATGATAATATCACAGAGTCCTTCCTCAGAAGAAGGTACCTTGCCTCCTCTTTATTCAAGGAGTTCTAGATCTCTGAAGTGATAAAGGCATGGTAATTAGGTTATTCCATTATGGTGTCCTAAAATCAACCCTCTGTTCATCAGACCTAAAGTTTTTTGTCTTTTTTTTTTTTTTAATTCAGGTATTCAGATCAAGTAAGACCTTAGTGAGCTGCCCCTCCATTTCAGTCCTAGGAACCCTGATCAATTTGCCTTTTACAATAACCATGCCCACCGTGCCTCTAAATGGTTAAGTTCTGTTACTTGCCTCTGCTAGTCCAGGATCCCACTGAAATCTGGGAGCCTATTTTAATAGCAGCATCTCTCAAACTCATACCAAGGCCAGAGAAGACAGCAACTACAGCACTTATTAAAGATGCCAGCATTCCCCTCACCCCTGTATTTTCTTAAAGGTGGCAAAGAACATCCATTTTAGAGGGCACAATTAGAGAATCAGGAAGTCAGCCACACATAATAAATCTACCACAACATCCTTATTTCTCCCAGATTTGGTATTTCAACTTTATTCAATGTAGGTCACTAGTGAATCCAGGTTTCAGTCAAACAAGCAAACAATTAGAACCAGTCCTAGCTGCTAGAACAAGTACCAAATCTGAAATCTCTCATAGGTGAACTTACACAATAAATTTAGCACAAACTAAAATCAGATTTCTCCTTTCCTTGCCCAGCACCTTCAGATTCCAATTCCGTATCTATTTACTGGGTTTTGCTAATATAAATTAGTAAAACCCTGCAATTCTTTTGATACATAGAAGTTGTCTTTGATTTTGAAATTGGCCCCTTGCTGAGATCTGACTCTAGCTATAGGCCTAGAGGTTATAAGGACTGCTAGAGATGGAAATGAGAAAAACAATCACTACTCTGCAAAGTGAGGTTATTACAGCATCTTAATGCAAGGCAGGACCAGTCTCATCAGTCAACAGAAGAGGGGTTGCTTCTGTTGGCAAGAAAGGAAAGCAATTAAAATTATGGGTTAAGAATAACTGAAGCTATCCAAATACTCGCAAATGATACCATTCCAATTCTTAGAATCTCATTCTTTCCCAATCAGTGTCCCAATTTACACCTAATAGATCTGATGAAGCTGTGAATTCAATCTACACTGTAGTTCAACAATTTGTTGGATCAGACTCTGCACCGGATTTTGGCTCTAACAGTCCTGGAGTTGTAAGATGTAAAAGATTCTTACAAGCCATTCACAAAACTCCTTAGTTCTCTAACCATAACTTCAGCCAAGATTTTGAAACTCTGGCCCTGACACTTTCTTTACAATCAGAGTTTCTCAAACTCAGCAATACTGACATTTTGAGCCAGGTAATTCTCTGTTGTTGGAGGCCGTCCCGGGCGTTGTAGGATGTTTAGCAGCATCCCTGCCTCATCTCACTAGATGCCAAGAGCACTTACCTCTATCAGTTGTGACAACCTAAAATGTCTCCAGATATTGACAAATATCCCTTGGTGGGCAAAATCACCCCAGGTTGAGAGGTACTGCTTTAATCCCTGCAGTAAAGTTAAGAAACAGCCACTCCTCCCACAATTTTTATATTCTTTTGTCTCCTGATATGCAGCACCACTGAGTCTAACCAAAGCGTTGCTATCAACAGGTACTTCATTCTAGGCGACCAGAGGTGAAAACTTAAGTAACTTTCACCACTAAGTGCCATGGACTAATTACCAGTGACCCTTCCATATTCCTATGTCCTTGAGGATCTGTTACCTGTAACGCTTTTAGTACCAATTAATGTATTGGTCCAGGACCAGACATCAGAATATACTCTAGGTAGTTTAAGCAAATAAGAATTTAATACAAGGATTAGATGTTCACAAAATCATTTTAAAAAGTGGAGAAACAGGCTGTAGAAACAATTTCTAGCCACAGAACCATTCTGCCTCAACCACAATTTAGAAAGCTACCACCATCACTGCAGGAAGCTGGCAAACAGAAGCTGCTGCATAAGCTGCAGAATTAGAAAGCCATCTGCTAAATTAGGAAGCTGCCACGTAAGCTGCTAGCTCAGAACAATTTCACCTCTTTCACAATCCATGCCAGCAAAATTCAAGCCCACATTTTACCTCTCTTCTCATGTGATTCCGTTCCAAATCAAAGTGCATCTGAAGGGTAGAACTTAAATCATGTCCAGAAACAAAGTAGCCTACTGGGAAAAAAATGTGTTGGTCAGGAAGACAATTAAGCACTCACATTCTAGAAGCTGCATTTCTCACTGTAATTTTGGATACCGGATTTCTCCAAGAAACGTATTGAGTTTCAACCTATCAATAATGTAGTTTCCTGAGCCTGAACTGATATAAACTACCATATTTTTTGCAAATAACGTGCCCAGGTAAATAACAGCACCACATATATAATGCGCATGGCAAGCTAGGAAAATAATGCGTGAGGGAATTGCATGGTTGTCAAAAGGCATACAATGCGTGCATTATTTGCATAAAAATCAGTCAATTCTATGCTGGGTGGAGGGTTGTGTGGACCATGGTCTTGGGGAACATCTAGCTCAATTGGCATAACACAGTTTATAAAGACAATGTTCTACATTCTACCTTGGTGAGTAGCATCTGGGGTCTTAAAAGCCTGTGAGCAGCCATCTAAGATACTCCACTGGTCTCACCCCTTCGGGAGCAAGGGAGAATGAAAAGAACAGGATACAAGGAAAAGATCAGTCCAAAGGACTAATGGACCACAGCTACCAAGGCCTCCACCAGACTGAGTCCAGTACAGCTAGTCAGTGCCCGGCTACCACCACTGACTGCTCTGACTAGGATCACAACAGAGGGTTCTGGACAGAGCTGGAGAAGGATGTAGAACAAAATTCTAATACACACAAAAAAAGACCAGATTTACTGGCCTAAAAGAGACTGGAGAAACCCCGAGAGTATGGCCCGCAGACACTCTTTTAGCACAGTGGTGAAGTCACTTCCGAGGTTCACCATTCAGCTGGGGATTGGACAGCCCCATAAGACAAAATGGGACCAATGAGGCACAGCAGTCCAGGAACAAGGACTAGAAGGCAGAAGGGGACAGGAAAGCTGGTGATAGGGAATCCAAGGCTGAGTAAGGACAGTGTTGACATGTAGTGGGGTTGTTAACCATTGTCATAGGGCAACATGTATACTGTTTAAGGAGAAACTATTCTGTTCTGTAAACCTTCATCTAAAGTGAGAACAGCAGCACAACTGAAGAGCGTAGTCAATGTCACTGAACTGTGTATGTAGGAATTTTTGAAATGGTATATCTTTGGCTATGTATATTTTCACCAAAAAAAAAAAAAAAGGTCGAGAAGGGAGAAGGTTGACATGTTGTGGGGTTGTTAACCAATGTCATAAAACAATATGTGTACTACTGTTTCATGAGAAACTATTTGTTCTGTAAGCCTTCACCTGAAGTACAATTAAAAATAAATAAACAAACTACTGATATAAACAAAAAAAAGGTTGAGAAGGGAGAAGGTTGACATGTCGTGGGGTTGTTAACCAATGTCATAAAACAATACTGTACTACTGTTTCATCAGAAACTATTTGTTCGGTAAACCTTCACCTGAAGTACAATAAAAAAAATAATAATAAAAAAATACAGTCAATTCTGGACCAAGCTAAATGACACCTTGTGTACATCTGTGTGATCATCTGGCCTTCCCTAAAGGAGAATCCCCCACATCGATAACAACCACGTACACCTTATGATTCTGAACTGCAATATTACCCCACTCCCACTAAAACAGTTCTGTTTTGGGATACTCATCATTTCTTTCATGGACTACCGCAATTGCTTCCTAACTATTCTGCAAAAGCGTCCTAACTATTCTCTCTTTTCCTAACTATTCTGAACTGTTGCCCACTCCAAACCATCTTCCTCAGTGCTGTCAGAATTTGTACAGCATGTTACTCCAGATAACTGACTTCTCAGAACATTCAGGATAATGATCGAATTCCTAATAATCTGAACTTCAGCTAACTCACACCCATGTCCTTAGAAGCATTCTAGTTTCAAAACCTGCTTATAGCTCCCATCTATCTGCCTTTGAACGTATTGTCCCTCTGCCTGAAATGCTCCTCTTCAACCACATCTCATTTCCCCCATCACCAGGTTAACTCTTAGTCATTTTACAACATTCAGTTCAAAGTGTTATCTCTTTTTAAAAATGTTTCCTGACACCTTGTGCCCCAAGACTAAGGCATCATTTTTCTGTGTTCCTTTTCTGTACTTCCATAATATCTTATACATAGTCTTAGTAAAATCTACAAGGGAGGAAATTCAAAGAGTTATGTAATCATCTCCAACAGGATTTAGCAGCTCTAAAATGAATCATTAGGCTCATTCAAGGTTGAGATCATTAGACTGAAACAATCAGGAGAACAAGAAAGGTGGATTAGACTATAGTTAAAATGAATCAGTCTGGGATTCTAACTAGGGAAGGAAGAAAATGATGCTAAGAGGGGGCTGAGAGATCATTTCATTCTATTGTTGGAAAAATCTAAATTGTTTAAACAGTTTGTTTTTCATTACACTGAGTTAAAATCTTCTCTAAATATTCTCCCCAACTGATGTCACCTGGAGTAACACAGAATGTATCTATTCCTTATTTAAAACAACAGCTTTCTAGCTTTTAGAAGACCACAATCATGATTTTCTCATCCCCCTCCCACCTATTTCCTCTAATTAAGCTAAGTAATTTTCCCATTATAGACTGCTTGAATCCTTATTACATACTGTCCAGCTATAACTACACAACTTAAGGAATGTGAAAGAATAATTAGCTCAGAATAAACATTTCTAAAAGGATTAAACGGTAGAAAGAAATGAGAGACAAGCCACCTTAGGAAAATGCAATTATATAAATCAACATCTATATTTTTTTTTTAATCACAATGAATAATATAGGAGATAAAGATAGGCAGGAATTATAAGTATACAAGTAGTTCCTGACTTAACGACAACGTAACGTTCTGACGGCTCTGTCGTCAGTCAGTTCTGACGTAAATCAAATACTTTATGGTTTGGTTTTTCTCTCTTTTTTTTTTAGTTTTCATTATTATTGGCTTTTATTATCAGTATCTTTATAAACCCAATCTTTATTTGTCTTTGGGGGTTGGCACAAGAATGAAAACATCAGCAAATTATGCACTACAACAATGTGTGTAGTACATATTACTAACAATAAAATGGGGGTAAAAAAAGGATGGCTGTATGTGCGGTTCCTAGTAACTCGAAAACATTGTAAGTCGGGAGTTACCTGTACTAATTACCTGATCTTTCACATCAGGGAGTCAGCAGGCACTATACACTTGATAATTCAAGAAACAGAATTTTAATAATACAACTTAAAATAATAAAGTATCTTCTAGCCTAACAGTATTAACATAGCAAACAAAAGTCAGGAAGTAGAGGGAGAAGAGTAACTAGTTATAAGTTTACTAAATTTACATCTTCCACATTGGAGAATCAGTAAGTGCCCTCTGAAGTTGTTCAATATATTCATTTCTCCATTACATGTCTACTGACATAATAAAAGCAAACTGAAAATAAACCTTACTTTGAGGAAGTAAGACTGAAGTGGGCAAGAGACAGAAGACTTTCTAATTTATATTTTTCTGTCCCTTGAAACCCGTTGCCATCAAGTGGATTCTGACTCATAGTGACTTTTTCTGTCCAGTTTAATTTACTAAATGTGCTACTTTAAAAAACAAAAACAAAAAAACTACCTAAAAATGAAACAGTTATTAGTGCATGTGTTGTTACTGTTGTTAGGTGCCATCCAGTCAGTTCCAACTCATACGACCCCATGCACAGCAGAACGAAACACTGCCTGGTCCTGTGCACTTCTCACAATCCTTGCTATGTTTGAGCCCATTGTTGCAGCCACCGTGCCAATCCATATCCTTGAAGGTTTTCCTCTTTTTCACTGACCCTCTACTTTACTAAGCACAACGTCCTTCTCCAGGGACTGGTCCCTCCTGATAACATGTCCAAAGTACATGAGACGACGTCTCGCCATCCTCACGTCTAAGGAGCATTCCGGCTATGCTTCTTCGATTCTGGCTGTACTTCTTCCAAGACAGACTTGTTCATTCTCCTGGCAGTCCACGGTATATTCAATATTCATCATCAACACCATAATTCAAATGCGTCAATTCTTCTTCTGTCTTCCTTAGTCACTGTCCAGCTTTCACATGCATGTGAGGCGACTGAGAATACCATGGCTTGGGTTAGGCGCGCCTTAGTCCTTAAAGTGACATCTTTGCTTTTTAACACTTTAAAGAGGTCTTTTGCAGCATATTTGCCTAATGCAATATTTGATTTCTTGACTGCCGCTCCTGTTGGCACTGATTGTGGATCCAAGTAAAATGAAATCCTTGACAACTTCAATCTTTTCTCTGTTTATCATGATGTTGCTTACTGATCCAGTTGTGAGGATTTTTGTTTTCTTTATGTTGCTGTGTAATCCATACTGAAGGCTCTAGTCTTTGTTCTTCATCAGTAAATGCTTCAAATTTTCACTTTCAGTAAGCAAGGTTGTGTCATCTGCGTATCACAGGTTACTGACGAGTCTTCCTCCAATCCTGATGCCGCTTTCTTCTTCATATAGTCCAACTTCTCGGATTATTGCTCAACATATAGGCTGAATAAGTATGGTAAAAGGTTACGACCCTGATGCACACCTTTCCTGACTTTAAACTATGCTGTATTCCATTGTTCTGTTTGAATGACTGCCTCTTGGTCTATGTATACGTTCCACATAAGCACAATTAAGTGTTCTGGAATTCCCATTCTTCGCAATGTTATCCATAATTTCTTATGATGCACACAGTGGATGCCTTTGCATAGCCAATAAAACACAGGAAACATCTTTCTGGTATTCTTTGCTTTCAGCCAAGATCCATCTGAAGCAATGATATCCTTCATTCCACGTCCTCTTCTGAATCCGGATTGAATTTCGGCAGTTCCCTGTTGATGTATTGCTGCAATCGTTTCTGAATGATCTTCAGCAAAATTTTACTTGCATGTGATATTAATGATATCGTTCAATAATTTCTCCATTCCGTTAGATCACCTGTCTTTGGAATGGGCACGAATATGGAAATCT